AGGAAAGCAAATGAAAATAACCGTTGTGCTATTTTTGATAGCTCCAATAGCCCGTTTTCCATAAAATAAAAAAAGAACTTAAATAAAAAAAATTCTAATATTATTTTTACCTAATTTCAAAATTTAAGAAGAAATAATGTTTCCTCTGCATAAAGCTGCAGAATATATGCCCTTTCTTTTTCTGAAACCAGCTTTCAACAAAGAGTTAACCACCCCCTATCTGCACTCCCAGCCATTTCAGCCCATCAGGAGCCTGCATCCCTCTCGACCAATCACAGCGCTGGGAGGTGATGTCATGCTTTATCTAGCAGAGGTGGTGCTGATGCTGCCAGGTTGAGCATCCAAACAGCAGCAGACTGTCAGACTGAACGTGAGGGAAAGACTCTGACAGAAGATCACAGCACTGTCGGTGAGTTAAGGTAATATTGCATATCATAATTTGTTATTTACTGTATTATTCTTTTGCAGGACAAAAGGAGACTGGCGATCTGTTGGACTAAAGTTTTATTCACTATAGCAAGATCCAATAATTCTATTTTTGTTCTGTATTTAATAGCGCAGAAATCTAGTTTGGCATTCCTTAGATTATGTTGCAATGCAGATTTGCATGCTTGCAAGATTTAGAGCATGCAGTCGAGGTTAATAGACTTATATATGTGCATAAATGCATATATAAGCATGATTGTTTGGGGATTTGCAACTGTTAAGAATCTTAATAGCATATCAGAATCAATTTAGAAAATGGTCACGTGATATTGTGCATGAAATCACGTTAGTCTAAAGAAAAGAAGTGCATTGCATATAGGGCGAAGTGCATTGTATATTCGTGCAAGGTGAAAAATAGCTATGCGGAAAAAGTGCATTGCTAAATTTAAAAAGGGGATGTAGGGCAAAGTGTGTAGGCTATTTGAATACACAATGGTCTTAGAGGTCCTGCAGTGAGCGTGCTAGTCTGTGCTGTGGGTGGTACTGAGAGGTGAGATTATGTAGTATGTTGGTGTGCAAAAGGCCACGGCCCCTTAATAGAGCAACACTTCCTTTGCTTTCAAAACAGCAAGCGTTTATTCCGATCAGAAGGCAGTGGGAGGTTAAAAAATGACTTGCTTTGTGAGCTGCAAACAAATGCATGTGAAATTTTTATTTGTCTAATGTAAATGACAGTGCTAACAGAGTTGTGTACCAAAGCATGTATTATTTATTATATCAGCTGTGTTGCTGCATGGCATCAATAAAACAGGAGGGTTTTCACTTTGTGTGCATGCAGTGTGATAGAGAAAATGATGCATTGTCCTATAATGGCCTACAGAATCAAAATTTTTGCCTTTTATGTTATCAATTGACGCCTAAAAGTTTGTAAATGTTTTATAGAATAAGCCCATGCATTGAAAATGTCAGAAAGTTTCAAAGGTGTTAGTGGGTGCAGCGATAGTGAGCGTGGGAAATGAGGGGGCACAGCGAAGGCAGAGGCAGGATGAAACGAGAGAGACTGATAGAGAAGGCGCGTAGGCTGAGAGAAAATCATAAACCCTAAACAAACCTAATTCATTCATGCTGTCCTCTGCGAACGATTGCAAGCAAGTATATTACGGTTGAATCTATTTGTCTGCTTTGTTTTGTGAATTTGAATAGATATAGTATGCATACTATTATGTGCTTAGATGTAGCTGTGTGGTTCTTTTACACGGCAAATAAATAATTTTTGATGGTTTGATTTGTGCTTGTTATTCACAATCTACATTTGCGATGCTAAACCTTGTGGGATCTTTATGTGAGGACAAAGACATGGTTTCTGATTACATCATCGTTTCTCTCTCCTGTAGGATCAGCTGAGTTTGAAACGCCTCAGAGGACTCAGAAGAAGGAAAAATGACTCTTGCAGGTACGTGTACATCCACCTGCTTGTTCGCATGTGAACTTGGGAGTGTTTAATGGAGCTGAAGGAATTATGTGTGAGCACATGTGATGATGTTACCTCAAAATAACTCTGTCTCTCTTTTGCAGCATACAGAGAGAAGATGAAGGAGCTCCCTCTAGTGTCTCTCTTCTGCTCTTGCATCCTACCAGAGCCTCGAGAAAAGCCCACCAAGAAAACACAAGGTATCTTAAGGCACCTTTAAAGATCATTTCAGACAGATTTCCCTGTTTTTACATATTCCAGTGAGCTAAATGGAACATTATACTATATTCACATCAGTTCCAAATCAAGTTGTTTAAAATTAGTTGCATTAATATATATCCTTCAAATCAGTCATTGTTGATTTTCTGTTGTAGATGTTGTGGACCTCAACCTGGGCATTATTAAAGACATGGAGGTGATCGAGCTAAACAAGCGGTCATCGGGCCAGGCCTTTGAGGTCATCCTCAGACCTCCATCTTTTGACGGTCAGAGGGAATTCCATCCCACTTTCCCACCTCGCAGAGACCCCTCACTGGAAGAGATCCAGAAGAAACTGGATGCAGCTGAAGAGAGAAGAAAGGTAAGGAACAGAGATGTTTTTTGTGGAGGATACTCTCAGTATCAATTAGTTAGTTGATGTCAGTAATTAGTAATTATTCAGTTTCAGTTTTAATAACTTTAGTGCTTCAACTTTTTTAGTTGCAGAGGCAGCATTTTAATTTTCCTTTTTTTTTTATCTAATATTTATATTTTATTTTAAGTATTTTATTTTAATGCAACAGTACCGATAATAGATATGCTTATATTTGAGTCTCATATTGAGTTACATAGAATGCATTATCTCCACAGTGTCAGGAAGCTGAACTTCTGAAGCACTTGGCTGAGAAGAGAGAGCATGAACGAGAGGTGGCCCAGAAAGCCATAGAGGAACACAACAACTTCATCAAGATGGCCAAAGAAAAGCTGGAGCAAAGAATGGAGATTAACAAAGAGAACCGGGAGGCCCACATCGCTGCCATGCTGGAACGTCTTCAGGAGAAGGTACGGTGGATTTTGACATCCAAATCCAGTTCTACTTTTTAAAGGTGCAGTGTGTTATTTCTGCACCACTAGTGGGACCAAATGGAATTGCAATATGTTTGTTTGAGCAGCCCAATATAGTAATAAAATGCTCAACCGATGGCATGAGTTTTTAGAGCGAGACCATCTGAATGTTGAAAATATGCATCAGTTCTGCAATTTCATTTGGTGCAACTAGGTAGATCTTTTCAAATCTTAAACACTTTAGAGTTAAGATTGAGCTGTTATTTAATAGTTCTTCTTCTTTTTTCTTGTGTTTTTCCAGGACAAGCATGCTGAAGAGGTGAGGAAAACCAAGGAACAGATAGAGCTGGACTGGCAGTAGAATGATATGAATCAAGAGCATTTCTTGTCCAGAATTTTCAAGAAAAACAACCAAATAAGGCCTAGCAGGTCCTAGTCATGCTAAGAACGGCTGTTTTTTGGAATTGGAAATTATTCGAAGGCCTATCATATGATATTTGCAGCTAAAGATTCTTCTTGTCTGCTGCCAGGCGAAGCACTGTATATCATGGATGTTGAATCGGGAATCAATGCGAAAAAGTCGTTTGATTTGTTTGTCGCCAAACTGTGTAAAAAAAAAAACAACTTCATGAGTCATCATCCATCCCTTTGGTCTTTAATAGTGGCTTTGCATGTACTGATGGGATAATAATAAAACAGACAAAACAGATGAAAACTACCAAGATGTGTATTTGTGTTGTACTGTTGTGAATTAGCTGTTTGTAACATTGTCGTTCAGTGTGGTGATGTGTACTTAGTACTGTAGTTTGGCTTTGCATTTATGTGTCTTAGTGTTGGTTTCTTGGAAGAATCATTAGTAGAATATTTGTTAGTTACCTGACAACAAATAGTGTATTAAATGTGGCCGAAATCAACGTTTTAATGCTTGCATGCCGTGGTACACTTGATAAAACTTGTGAAAAGCCATTTGGTGTGTGACCGTGTGGTTTTTGTCCTGTTATTAATTGCTATATCTCTGAACTTTATGTTCCAGGTGCCTTGAGATCTTCTCACAACACATGCTGATCATATGGGAGACCATTCACCAAAGGACTGACTATCACGCTGAGCTTATTAGCTTGGATCATAAGAGATTATGACTCTGAAACCTGATTATGATATCGCTATATCATTGTAAGGAACGATGGCCATGTTGTCAGATGAACAGAACTGGCCGGCCAGCAAAGATTGTGATGGAATCTTTACTACCTTAATCTGAGAAACGCAGAGATGTGTTTGTCTCTGCAATGAGCTTGTATGCCATTAGTGCCAAAAAAGAGTGCATGTGAATGGTAACTTTGTGTGTTTCTGAGTGTTTGGATGGTTTCATGTACTTTGCCCCGTGGATGCTGTCAGTTTGTCCTCTGTCCTGTCTTTAAGGCTCTATTTTTGGTAAACTGCTCAAGCTTTTGCCGCTGTACATATGTTCACTTGCCTCATGATCAGCTGGTGTCTGATTTGGCTGTATAATTCTGTACAGAAATTGTGATATATTTTAAAGGCAGAGGGAATTAAAGGACTGCTGGTATAGTTTTATTCTTGTGACTTTCTCATTATTGATTGAGTTTTTTCCCAAATAGAAAAAATAGACCATCAGAACAATATTTGTAGTTTTTTTTCTTATTTATTGCGTCATCATAACATTTAAAACACATTTGGATCAATAAATAAATAGTTGGCACAAATTAAAAATCCAGTGAAAATAAATATCCTACATTTGGAAGCACATGTAATGACATAAATAAATTGGATTATTAGATGGATCAAGTCGGATGAAGGGTTGAACTCCTTATCCAAAAATCGTGATGATGATAGATCGAATTCTTCTATTGCCAGAAAAATCTCAAATATATAATCCATAAAATATCATGAACATAAATATATATCCTACATTTTGCAAACATGTATATGATACCATAAATAATTTATAAAGTCATAAGTCTTAAGCCTTACGTTCTGGATTTGTAATACACTAATGATCAAAAATCGATAGTATTGTAACTCCATCAGGTCCCACATTTTAAACATGTTGTACATATGGACGAACGCAGGTGCATCCCACTGCAATGGTTTTGTACTCAAGTTTTAAGGAGTAATTCTGCTTTTCTCCTCGAATTTTCCTCAAGACCATGATTTGGGTGTAAATCGGTTTGGAATGGAAATCCTCAGCGCCTTCTAGCAAACATCCAGTCAGCGAACATTTCGCCTCTGCGATGCTAGAAGGGTACAGGCTGTCATCATGTGTAAACCTATGAAACAATTTGAATCATGATAAGTTTTAGGTTAGCGGGTTGCAACAGTCATATGTGACCCTCGACCACAAAATCAGTCATAAGGGTCAATTTTTCGAAATTGAGGTTTATACATCATCTGAAAGCTGAAAAAATAAGCTTTCCATTGATGTAAGGTTTGTTAGGATAGGAATATCTGGAATATTTGTAGAATATTTGGCCGAGATACAACTATTTGAAAATCTGGAATCTGAGGGTGCAAAATATCTAAATATTGATAAAATTGCCTTTAAAGTTGTCCAAATGAAGTTCTTAGCAATGCATATTACTAATAAAAAATTAAGTTTTAATATATTTACCGTAGGAAATGTACAAAATGTCTACATGGAACATGATCTTTACTTAATATCCTATTGATTTTTGGCATAAAAGAAAAATCAATCATTTTGACCCATACAATGTATTTTTGGCTATTGCTACAAATATACCCCAGCGACTTAAGACTGGTTTTGTGGTCCAGGGTCACATATTCTAAATATAAAAGCAATGTAATGATACTGAAATGACAGTTCATCGTCATCAAATTAAAAAATGAACATTCCAAAAGGGAGTTTTGAAATATAAAAGCAATAAACAAGTATATGTGGATTTGATACTGAAATGACAGTTCATCGTCATCAAATTAAAAAATGAACATTCCAAAAGGGAGTTTTGGTGGTGATGCCATAAAAGAACCATTCGGGTTCCACAAAGAACTTTTCAGTGAACGGTTCTTAGTGTGAAGAATATTTTAATAATCCAAAGAACCTTTTTCCACAATAAAGAACATTTTGTGGAATGGAAAGGTCCCATGGATCTTGAAGTTTCTTCAATGCCAATAAAGATTCTTTATTTTTAAGGGTTTATAAGACAAGGTCTTACGTGTAGGTCCATGGAGAGATGGAGTCGTTGTTGATTGGATGGATCGGGTTGGCTGAGGATTTGAACTCAGGATCCAAGATCAACTGGTATGATGAGGATGGATGCGATTCTTCTGATGACCTGTGGTTTGCTTTCTTCTGAGGATGTTTTGAAGGTGCCCCCTCAGCTCCAAATGATATTAAAACGAGCCCCATCATACAAGCCACCTGCGAAACACAGACACTGTCATTTCAGACTCAATCGTAGTAGCATTGCAAGTTGAGCAACAAAAATTCTTAGGAGATAGTTAGCAGGTCGTCTTCGAACATTTCAGCAATACTCACCATGAGAAACTGGATGGTTAGCGCTGATGACATAGTTGCATTCATTTGACCTGTTTTTAGTTTTTTTTCTGATGTCTTCTGTCAGTCTTAAGTCTTGCTGCTCTACATTTGAAGTGGCATGTGCAGTTTATATAGAGAGGCCTGTTCGTGCATTCTCAGCGGTGTAGGTGAACTTCCTGTGATGAGTTCTACCCTTTGATGGTATTTTATGTTGTCATATTCAATGTGTCAGCAAAAATCGCTTTGAGTGCATTGTGTCACTTCAATCACAGTGCTATTTCCTTTTGCCAATATGTGGCTGACAAATGGGTTTTAAATAAATATGAAATATTATGAACTCATAAATACACAATATTTAATTTCATTGTATAAGGTACCAATATGCAAATAAATGATTCTATAGATTTTCTCAGAACTAACGGCATTTTACCACCCTATGGAACTTGATTCCACCACAGGATGAACAATTAAAAAGATAATCTCTACTTTTTACCCCACAATTCTGACTTTTTTACTCACAATTTGGCATTTCTAAGAAAAAAAAGTCTGAATTGTGAGATGTAATATCAGAATTCTGATAAAAAGTCAGAATTGCAAGATATACAGTAAACTCAGAATTCTGACTTTTTTTTCTTAGAAATGCTAAATTTTGAGTTCATATCTCACAATTATATAGAAGCTTGTTTCTGCAATGGAATTTTTTTTAAAAAAGGTAATTGAAACTTTTTGTCTCACAATTTTCTTGCAATATTTAATTTAAATCTCACAATTCTCACAATAACTTTTCTTCTCAGAATTGAGTCTTCTTCAGATTTTTCTTCCCAGAAGAGTTTATATCTCACAATTCTAACCTTTATCTCACAATTCAATTCATTTCTGACAATTGTGAGGAAACAAAGTCTGAATTGTCAGACAAAAAATTCACAATTACCATTTGTATTTATTGTCCCATGGGTGAAATGACCTTCCATGCTTTTCTGAGCCTGCTATTAAATTTAACTAAAATTTAAATAAAACTGGCCCCAAAGTGATATTTAGTGGATGTATGAAGTCATTGATGTCATATGGACACATTCCACTAACATTTTACAACTAGAAAATATTTTTTTGAAACAATTTTGAACTATGGTTCTTATTTAGTGAGTCATTTTATTTTACATAAATACCATTTGGTTTGACATTTTGTTACCTACACTCTTAAAAATAAAGGTGCTTCACGATGCCAGAGAAGAACCTTTTTGTCTAAATGGTTCCATAAAGAACCTTCAACATCTGAAGAACCTTTCTGTTTCACAAAAGGTTCTTTGTGGCGAAAGAAGGTTCTTCAGATTATAAAAAGGTAAGAAAGAGATGGTTCTTTAAAGAACCTTTGACTGAATGGTTCTTTGTGGAACCAAAAATGGTTCTTCTATGGCATCGCTTGAAGAACCTTTTGAAGCACCTTTATTTTTAAGAGTGTAATGCAAAGAAATTCATACATTTTGTGTTTTTGAAGTGTCTAAATAAATTTTGTATCCACATATTATTGTGTTTATTGCATCTTAGCATAGCAACCATTACATACCAACATAACCTACTTTCATTGACCGCCGTCTCATAAGCACTCAGATCAGAAGGCATATATTAGTCTGATGAAATAAATTCTTGCTGGGTATGATTCTGTCCACTATACGTCAGCTCCTACATTGCCTTCTGTTAATGCCAGCGACCTCGATTGGCATAGTTTGCAAGAAGTCATGTCGACTTGGAGACTTCCGCCCCAGTGTCTGTAATGGCTTTTCCCACCAGCGCTGGTTTACGATTGCGTCAGTTGCAGAGCAATTGCGGTTTTACCCTCTTCTACTTTGAAATTTCTAAGGATTGTGGGGAAAACACAAGGCCACATGTTCAAGACTCAGAATTGAGGGTGATGCACATGCAAATGACAGTAATACAATAAAAGTAATCCCCTAAAACAGTATGACAGCTTCAAATACATGCATTGCAATAGTGTTCTTGTTGTGAAGTTTAAAAATGAGTATTGTATGTACTTTATTCAGTGTGTACTGTGTTTTATGATTTAAAAATACTTAACTTAAAGGGACAGTGTCCCCAAAATGAAAATTCTGTCATGTCATTTCAAACCAGTGTGACTTTATTTCATCTGTGGAACAGGAAAAAAATAAATATTTTTTGATGAACGCTCGGATCTAAAAAACATTGGACTCCACTGACATTCATTTTACGGACAAAAAAAAAGTTCCACCAAAATTTGTTTTAAAAAAAGCCGGTGACAGAATTTTCATTTTTGGATGAAATATGCCTTTAAAAAATACTCAGATTCATCATCTTAGACCATTAAACCCCCAATGTTTCCTAAAACCATTGGAAATGTGACGCAGGCCTCTGACCTACTTCAGGAATCTTAGATCTCCTACTTTATTACTCATGAAAACGAGTTCAGTTACTCAACGTCCAGGAACAGGGGCTTTTATAGTGACCCACATAAGACCACAAATTTGGAGAATCTTTAAAAGAGCTGAAATCAATAACCTAAATTTCCACGCTACATATTAGTTGCATCATTTTCACAGTTTCATCACTTATGAGATTATTTCCACATCCTACTGTGGATTTTTACTACTGAAGGCATATTGTGAATATTTGATTTCACATTCCCAGCTGATTAATCACAAACTTGGGGGAGAACCTTAAAGTTTCATGTTTCTTTGAATTAGACAGTGATGAAGTTCAACTAAAAAGCATAAGCAGCTCAAAGCATATAAGAAGTCTTTTTTATTTTTATTATTATTATTATTAAAGCAATTAGTAATACTCTTATTTCGTCACAGTGGTCATGCTAATGGTTTTATTTTGGCCAATGTATTTTACTGTGGTGAAATTATACAAGGCCGACTGATGTGTCTCAAAAGATCTTCGTTATATTTTCCTTTCATCAAAAGCAGAATGGTAAAATGAGGTCAGTGATTTGCTGAGTAGCTTCCGCTCACTGTGTAAATGGTTCGTCATCAGTCAATTTGAAAGCAAGTAAAAAAAAACTACATTCCCGCATTGGGAGCTGTCACATCAAAGAAAGGCAATGTCGGTGACATAACTCTGGGTTAAGCCACAGGGTGCCCAATAAAACTGCCCATTAATGGACGTCACAAACTCAAACCAATTAACTGTCAACTTTGCAAAATGTGGTTTCATACTTTTTGAATGGCTGCTTAATTATTCCTAAATGAAGCATTTTCATTTTTTTATTGTCTATAAATGTTAGTTTTAAGACACACTTTTCCAAACAAACTCACATTATATATAATAAAATGACAAAAAAAAAGTTAATAAAAGAAAAAGACACCAAATTCAGAATACTGACTAAAAAAGGAGCTGTCTTTGCAAATGTGAACGGTTATGTGGGTGGTGAAAATAGGCCGGTTTGCACTGTAGCGTTCAGATGCTATAGATCTCACCGCATAGAGACACTGTATCAGTGAAAACAATCTATCAAGAGCACTTCTCACTTTGATGCTGGGATAAGCTGCCATGCATCAGTACATAGCAGCTAGAGCGTCTATATAAGAATAAGCATGATTAACATTTTGCATTTATGCTTTCGCATGACGGAATTTCCAGAAAGACTTTTGAGATGGCAAATAGCTTAATGATAGTTGATCACTTTAGATAATCTATTAGATAAACTTTCCTTTTTGATATTTGGCATGTATTTGATAAAGAGAGCATTGCATTGTTTTTTCATTGTTTTTGCTTATTCATATAGTTACAAATATTTATTGATACACTGGCGTAGCCTGTTCATTCATGCATTGTTTTGGTTCAGTACTGATCTGAATCAAATGAGAATAATGCAAAGACATTACATTCTGTCCTTTTGCATATAAAAAGTTTAATTTGTGGAAAGAACAAACCCAGCTTCAATGATGTGCACGTGAATTGACCATTATGCAATGGTTAAATATTCTAACCAGCATAAATTCCCTGCTCCAGGTTTCCAGCTAACAAAAATATGAACGTTTTGTTAAGATTACAAAATTGTTATTTCTGAATGTTCTCTGAACATTCAAAATGTCCAGTTTTATATATGTGTAAAAAACGTTTTTTCTTGGTTACGTGAACGTTATAGAGTCAACATTGAGGGGAACATTCCATTTAATTATTAATTATTAATAATAATGTTTCTTTTGAATGTTCTCTAAACCATCTTAGTTTCAGAAAAACTTTCCATAAATTATGTATAATAATGTTTAGTTTTTTGCTAACGTTTTGAGAATGTTATTAAAGACCAGATAACTTTGAATTAACATTCTACACTCTAAAAAAATGCTGGGTCAAAACAACCCAATTGCTGGGTTTGTCCCTATTTTACCCAGCACTGGGTTGTATTTAACCCAGCATTTTGCAATAATGTTATTGGAAGAATGTTTGTCCATAACTTTGAGAGAACCTTGCCATGATGTAAAGCAAAGTTCCCTGTTAGCTGGGTTAGTGCCTGTCTTTGGTGAAAGAATAGACAAGCTATCCAGTAAATATTAAAGGGATAGCTCACTCAAAAATGAAACTTCTGTCATCATTTACTCACCCTCATCTTGTTTCAAATCTGTATGACTTTCTTTCTTCTATGGAACATAAAAGAAGATCATTTGAGAAGTATCTTTTTATACAATGGCCATCATTGGTACCCAAAACAGTTTGGTTACCAACTTTCTTCAAAATAGCTTCTTTTTTTATTCCACAAAAGAAAGTTATACAACATGAGGGTGTGTAAATGATGAAAGAATTTTCATCTTTGGTTGAACTATCCCTTTAAATAACAACCAACAAAGTCTTTCTGGTGTAGTTGGTTCACAAAGGGGGTCTCCTTGACTTAGTTGTCTCATGGGTGCAAACCAACCAACCATGGTAGAAAACAAGCATCCAAGGTGTAGCATATGCTGGTCTTTTGTGCTTTCTCAATAAGTTAGAAAGCAGGAAATTCATGTGTATTTTAATAGGAAAATATATGCATTCATCCATTTGGCACATTAGGATGACTGCAGAAAGCCTTCCTCCTCACAAAGACCAGATAAAAACATTAATTCATCATTTAAGAACATCTTGCATGAGTGTCACTATAAAAAAAAGATTTTTCATAGTTGTAAATAAAACTATTGTATGTTTTTAAAGAAAATACTATTTCACTGTGACTATATTCAATGTGTTCATTTCTTTGTAATTATTAGTGACATTTACTAGCAATTTCTTAGTGGAAACTGTTTCAAAGCCATTTTTCAGTGTATTAAACTGGCATGAAATTAACGCAAGACACAACCAAATAAAGTTCTGAAACGTGACTAAAAGATTGAACAGAATCCAAAATCTTGATAACTCACCCCAAAAGCCTGATTATTATGATTCAGCATTTTTTTTCTCTCCATGAAATGGATCTGCAACAATGCCAACATAGACTGATCTTTAATCCATAGGTCAGATTACTGGCAATGAGAGGGAAAATGCAGGTCTAAACATAGCAGCAATCACCTATCGATTGATCTGATGAAGGAATCCAGGTCAGAGGTAGGCCATATTATCTATGCAATCACGATCAAGCATTGCATAAATAGATGAGGTGAACGAGAAACATTTTCACATCGCAAGAGAATAAGAAGAGGGCATTAAAGATGTTTCTGAGCTTCTTCAACGCTAAATACATGGTGAGATGACCGAAACAGTCAGTTGTTTAACTCTATTAGTGATGCTAATAGTTATACTAGCACTATATGCTTGCTTTACTAGAGATTAATCTTAAAACTTTTTTTAGATTAAGTTTAAATGTAATATATGGTGACGAAAAGAGGCCTCCGCTCAGAAATGGGTTGATTTTAATGAAATATAATAACAGATAATGATCTTTCTTTCAGGTTTTGCTGAGCTGTGTGCTGGCGAACCTCACATTTGCCAAACAAGGGCAGAAAAAGATATGTGACACTAGTTTGACGATTTCCAATGACTTTTATGCCTCTCTGGATGAAGACGCAAAGGGAAATGGCAACATCCACAACCGCTCACTATCTGCATGGACCTGGATGTGAGTTACACAGTCACAGAAACAAATGATCCATTCGCCAAACTCATAAGTGAATCAAAAAGTACTACGATTTAGAATTACAGCGGTAGAATGATGTTTAAATCTGTTTTATGTCGACGAAAATCATTTACAGTTCATGGCATACGCAAAGTTTGATGATGTAGCAGGAATCAGATGTATTGTTTGGGAGGTTAACATCAAGCTAGCTGTCATGGCTACTATGTAAGTATTTTTAAGAGACAGCAGGCCATGTGACATCAGTGTAAAACAAAGACAATCAGGTCTTGGTTAGTTATGTGGGTTTTGTCTCAGAGCAATTATAGATTCTTGTTTTCTCTGCTTTCAGACCGAAGTTTTCACAACGCAGAATACCACAGGTCATCTTTGAAGCCCAGTGCAATTCAGAATATTGCACCCTTCCCAATGGCGTGGATACGAGACTGAACTCATTGCCCATTTATCAGGAGATCCTGGTGCTAAAACAGGATACGGAGGACAGGAAGTGCTTCAGGGCGACTTTTGAGAGAGTAACAGTGGGCTGTACGTGTGTGTGGGCCAAAACCTCCTAAAATTACTCGTATGTTTCCATATTAGAATGAACGTATTTATTTGTTCCTATAGAAGCTGCGACTTTTAACAGATTTTAAGTTATTTTGGAGACAAAATGGTTCCTGAATGAAATTTGTTTTAAATATTTGCATTTATTGATTTAGCAGACGCTTATGATATTTATGTATTGAGTATTAATACAATATTTAAGCATGTTTTTGATAGTTTCTTTAATTAATCAGAACACTTATCTATCACTGTCACGATCATTATTGTGAACTCTCTGTAAGTTTTGAGGTAGTTAAACATCATAACACTTTTTTTCCCGAAAAATGTTTGTATGGTAATTGGTTTTGCTGAAAAACCATAAAATAAAGAAATGTCATTAAAAAAAAAAACATGTTGTCCAGCTAATAAAAATATGTTCTAAGAATATTTTGCTAATGTTTCCTTTAAAGAAAACAAACCCCAAAAAAATTCTGAACGTTCTCTGATAGTTTAAAAATCTAGCGTAGCGTTAGTTCTGGCAGGTCACGTTAGTCAAGCTCGCATCAGCTGACCTTCAGCTGATCCCCATCTACCTATGGGAATAAGACACCTACCTAAGTATTCATATATAAGGTCCCTCAGTATTATCAGCAGTTATCACATTGCTCAATAGCTAATTACCCTCCTCCATCCCCAACTCCTCCTCTGTCAGTCAGGATTCAGCCTTCTGATTCTCCTTTGAATCAGACTAATTCTAAAATGCGTACATAAAATGATTGAACTTTAACAATATCTGCAATACATTTATGTTAACTGTATGCTAATTGTCAATCATCTTTGACGATAGTGGTCCTGACAGAAATACCTTTCTTGGTTATGTGCATGTGAAGGGAGCATTCAATTTTATGATTTTGTAAACATACAGGAACGTTACTTTTGAATTTTCTCGGAACAGTTTGAAACAAGTTTTAAAAACAACAACAACAACAAAGAAAAGTTAAAATTTGTAACATTTTTAATGTTTAAACTAAACATTTGGGGGGGGGGGGGTTCTATGAATGATGCGTAAATAATTTTTGTTTAATGTTTTGAGAACATCCTTAAAGACCAGATAGCTTACAGTACTGGAAGAACGTTTGTTCAAAACTTTGATGCTGATGATACATGGGGCAACATTTTGAGCAATTTTGCCGGGAAACTTTTTCGAGCAATGTTTCTTGGACAGTTTCCCATTGAGAATAGGTAACAAATTTCTATCTGGATATTTTAGATCGGTCGTGGGCCCTGTGTCACCTGCTTGCCCGTTGATGGCAACATTGCTCAAAAAGTGACCCCGTGTATCATTCATCAGCCTCCGTGTTAACTGCCTCTGCTCTACTATACTTCTATCAAATATAGTAGTTGCATTAAACACAGATTATAATACACCAGTATTGTCTCTTAAATCTTGATCAGAATACCCTGTTGCTGAAACAGGATACGGAAGACAAAAAAATGCTTAAGTGCAACTTTTGCGAGAGTAATAGTGGGCTGTAAGTGTGTGCAGACCAAAACCTCCTAAAATAACGTGTTTGTTTCAATGTTACAATATACTTAATTACTTGTTTCAATGAAGCTGAGGCTTGTGCTTTTACTTGTGTATTGCAATTTGTAATGTGTATTGTAATTTTAATATTTTAAGTTATTTTGTAGACAAAATAGTGCCTGAATTACAGTTTTATTATATATTTATGTGTATTAATTTAGCAGACACTTATGTAAAAAAAAAGAGTAATAAAACATTGAAAAACTTTTTTGATATTTGCATTTGACCAATTAATAATTGACCATCAACATTTTATGAATTTATGAATATGTGTGCAATAGCTTGTCACTGGAGAAAAACTGGGGAACAATTTGACCTTATCTATGCCTAAAAGGTGCATTAGTATCTTAGAATAGTAATATGTACCTATAAGGTAGCCTACTACTATAAACCGTTTAGAAGTAAATAAGGTAAAAAGTTGTACATTTATGGGTACTGCCACAATGAAGCTTTGGTACCCTTAAACTAAAGGTACACTTTTTGCAATTTTCTTTTTTACTGATGCTTTAGTAAGAAGAGAGTAACTAGTCATTATATAATAAAGTAACTAAATAGCAACAATTGCATCTTTTACCACATGTCAGGACGTGGATGTGGTCTCTGGCACTCAACACTGTACAGCCCTGACAAACATTCACTATGGTAACCATAGGATCTGTTATAGACAATATTAGTTGTTGTTACTATAACAATCATTGCCACCAATGTCAGAACTAAAAAGAACAGAACTAAATCAGAGCGATTCTGAATGCTTCATACAGTTGAAGTGTTTTCTATAACTTAGTGTCATAGAATTTTCTTATATATATGATGTGCAAAGTCCATGCTTTTTCTCTTGTGAGTAGATCATTTTGATGAAATATCATCTAACATAAGTAGCTGGTAAAGAATTGTCTGACAACTTAATTTAGTCTAATTTATGAACAGAGCAATGAATAAGATAATTTATTATTATTTTAACGTAGGCTATTAATAATAGCTGGAGTACACTTAAATATGGTAACCCCAACCCTATGGACGTTTTATAAGGGAGACCAATTATTGATAATGCATGACATGAATGCATGGCTAATTTAGATGTATTGTAATTTAGATGGATTTGAAAAAATCATGGCCGTGTCACAGCCAAGCCACTAAGTGGCGATATACAGAATATGCAACGGAGGATACATTGTCTATTACCGCCAGCCAGCGGACGGGAGGTGCAATTACACGCAAGAGCCTCAATCATCTGTCTGTTTCTACATAAACAAACATCAACCTGGGATGGGCAAAGTTCCTTAGATCACCATCTGATAATATTGTATTACTGTTTTACACATTTATAAGCGCTTAAAGAAGGATCTTTAGCTCCAGCCAACGGGATTCTGTAAACTTTTCCTGCTGTACACATTGTCAAACTGTGGATTTACAGATAGCCAGTCGAGCTAGCTGGCTAAGGTAAATATTACTCTGAAATAATATGCAATATTAAGCCGAATTACATGGTTTTCAGTCGCGCACGTTCAGATTGTTGACAGCTCTTCGCTGGTTAGACTTCGCGCTAAAGTGCTGAAAGATTATATTTAGCTCTGCAAAGCTGTTCAATGTTCCAAATTTGTTTGTTTTTTTGGCTCAGAAATTATTATGTCATATGGATTATATTATTTACTATGTTTTTACTATGGTAACAACTATTATAACTCTAAGATTTTAGCTTAAATGTTCAAGTAGATTTTTACTTAATAATTTGTGAATGAATGAGGATTACAACTTTTAGGATTAAACCGTATTTTTCATAACTCGTTCTATTATATTTTGTAGAAACCCTATTTGTGTTAATCTAACCACGGTAAGAGTTGAAGGGTTAGTTCACCCAAAAATGAATATTCTGTCATCATTTACTGACCCTCATGTTGTTTCAAACTCAAACTCAAGTCAATGGCTACCAGCAACTGTTTGGTTACCAGCATTCTTCAAATTATTTCTATTATGTTCAACAAAAGAAAGAAACTCACAACTTGGGTGAATAAATTACTGAATTTTTATTTTTTGGGGTGAACTATCCCTTTAAATAATGGTCACCACACAATAACCTTGGTAACTAACTAACTTTATTATTTTTTTTTTAATCTAACTTTATTTTAGTCTTCCAGTAGATTTCCTGATATCAAATTCGACAGCATCCATATCCTGTAAATGGGGAACAATGCGCTCAAAGCTCATTTGGAAACATCTCAGAAGACTGGAGTCTTTCAGCTGACCGGAAAGGGTTTGACGGAGGTACTAATAGGCTTGTCGTAATCATATTCACCGCTCTGATGCACTTAGCAGCGATGTCCTCATGGATTATTAACAGCTCACATGTCTCTGTTTATGTAGTTCCCAGAGGAGCTGCAGAAACTCACCGGAAACCTGCGGACAGTCGATCTGTCCAACAACAAAATCGAGGTGCTTCCAGCATTCATAGGAGGCTTCCAGCAACTCAAGAGTCTCACAATAAGCAGCAATAAACTGAGTAAGTGTACACAAATAGCTAAATATGGCCAACATAAAGATAAACTTATCATTCTACACTTTTATTTTTGTTTTTGTTTTGCAATCAAAACATAGTTTTATATAATTATTTTGCTCATTTTTTGTCCCTTAGAATTAAATATGTTCATTTTGCTTCTGTACTTTTAAGGCTTTTGTATGTAAATGAGCTCTGTTGTGATTGGCTAACATCTTTGCATGTCAAAGTAGTAATCCCCTGTCAAATTGATGCATGGTGAACTATTTCTAAATGGCCCATTTTTGGGAAGTTGACGACAAACATTTTCATAATAGCTAATAACAATTTATAATGAGTATTGGGGGAAGATTTATATTGGCCAATGTTTCTTTGAAGTTTTCCCCATTTTTAAATCAGTTTTTGGCCTTCACTAATTCATTTATGTTCATCTTTCTTATTTAATTGTAATTTTAATATAAACATTAAATATTATTATTTAAATATAAATATTAAAAAAGTAATTATAAATGATCATTGTATTTAATTGAAAAACACAAACACTTAAAATTGATCATAGATTTTATATATATATATATAATTACAACTTTTAATGTCTCTAAAAGTCTTATACTCATCAATGCTGTGTTTATTTGATCAAAAATACAGTAAATATAGTGTTAAATAAACAGTAATATTGTGAAATATTATTACAATTTAAAATACGTTTTTTAATTGAATATATATATATTAAAAATGTAATTTATTCCTCTGAGGCAAAGCTGAATTTTAGCAACCCTTACTCCAGTCTTCAGTGTCACATGATCCTTCAGAAATCATTCTAATATGCTGATTTCCTGCTCATTAAACATTTCTTACTATAGTGTCTACATAATAAATCAAAGTCATATTATTTCATAGGAGCCTGTATTCTATGATATGAACCCTTAAGCACTCCATTAGTTTTTTTTCATTCGTGTATAGCCAGTCTACCAAATGACATCGGGAAACTCAAGAAGCTGGAGACTCTTATTTTAAATGGGAACCAGTTGAATCAGGTTCCTTCATCGGTGGGTCAGCTGAAGTCTTTGCGGACCCTGAGCCTGTCTGGGAATCGCTTCAAGGAGTTTCCTAGCGGACTCTGCACCCTTCGCCAGCTCGATGTTCTGGACCTGTCCAAGAATAAGATCCAGGTGGTTCCTGCAGAGGTGGCCGAACTGCAAGCCATTGAAATCAACCTCAATCAGAACCAGGTGAGGTTTTTTTTTAGTTTATTGCGTTTAGGAAATGTGTCTATGGTATAGATGTGTCAGGGTGACTTTTTGTGCTGTGTTTGTTCTGTTTCAGATTTCGACTCTGTCTCCAGAGGTGTCTCGTGCTCCCAGACTGAAGGTCTTACGGCTGGAGGAGAACTGTCTGGAGATCTCCTCTATCCCCTTCTCCATCCTCTCAGACTCCCAGGTGTCCCTGCTGTCCGTGGAGGGCAACCTCTTTGAAGTTAGAATGTTGCGTGACCTAGAAGGATATGATAAAGTAAGTTTGTGTCAGTTTAGACTACTCTTATAGCTCTAAAGCCTTTTATAAGAAGACATAAAAATGGTTTTGTTTTTCTTTTTAGTTTAGATTCGAGGTCCAGTGTTAATAGTCAGTTTTGTGTGTCTCATCCTCTTCTATAAATATCACGTGTTTTTCCAAAATGGAAAATACCACAGTTTAAGTTTGAATGTAAAACAAAGCTGGTCTAATTATTTGTTTTTGACACAGTCAAATCCCCCAAAATCCAACCAGACATTTCAGCAAGGTGTAATAGGATTTTAGAAGCGGCGAAGAGATAATACTTTTTTGTTGAAATCTAGCTCTGAATTGAGCAATTCACTTCAGTTCAGTTCAGATTTATTCTTGTTTCACACTTGTCACATTTACACCAGGGATTAAAAGAGAAAGAAAAAAAATGTCAAATATAATTTCCTCCAAATATAATCCCTTATTAATCTAAGAGCAATTTTAATGTTTCAAGCAGTGCTGTTTACACTGTAGATGTTATGTTATTTTGTGTGTGTGTGTGTGTGTGTGTTGTTGATTCTGAATGAAGTTTGATTAAATCTCTAAACATTTTGAACCCAGTTTAAACATCTAGTTAGTCCACTTGTTATTAGTTCGCCCAAAACAGATCTTACTTCCAGGTGTAAACAGGGCATCAATTGAAAGCTTTATGAGTTTGATTTTCACATTAAAATGTTTATTACAATCATGTTATAAGCAGAGGTTTCATTTTCCAAAATGAGCAGATCATTTATTATTACACTAACTTTTAAATGGTAGTGTAACCCAGTTTCCAGAAAAATATTAAGCAGAAAAAAAACTTTTTTCAACATCGATAATAATAAATGTTTCTTCAGCATCAAATAATCATATTAGAATGATTTCTGAAGGATCATGTGACACACTGTTAAATTCAGCTTTGCCATCACAGGAATTACATTTTAGAATTTAACAATAAAAAGCAGTTATTTTAAATTGTAATAATATTTCATAATATATCTGTTTTTGCTGTATTTGTGGAAAAAAAGGCAACCTTGGTAAGCAAGATCGCATTTCAAAACCATAAAAAAGATCCTAATTATTCCAAACGTTTGACCCGTAGCATACATTCTAAACAGTCTTAAGCATGTGATTTAGGAGTCTAATGCCAATCTACATTAAAAAGACTTTTTAAAATCGTTTTTTATACTCTTTCTTTCTTGCATAGTCATATAATGACTTGCTTTAATCTTTGTTTTTTCAGTACATGGAACGTTTCACTGCAACCAAGAAGAAATTTGCGTGAACAGTCAGAGGCTTGCTGCACCTGTCCTCTGCACTGGGCTTACCGTAGAAAGGTTTCAGCCGAGACTGCTTTCCAAAATGAGCCAATATTTGGCATGACATTTCAAAATGTCTCACTTTCAACATTTGATATGTTATCTATATTCTATTGTGAATAAAATATAAGTTTATGAGATTTGTAAATTATTCCATTCCTTTTTTACTCACAATTTGTACAGTGTCCCAACTTTTTTGGAATTGGGTTTGTAGAAAACGAAGCGTTTGAGAGAGGCGGGGCATAGAGGACCTACAATAATGTACAGTATTTGAAAAATAATGTGTTTTTTGAACATTAAAGCAAGTCAACATATTCTGTTACACCAAATACACAAAATAATGATCTTTAAAAAAGCCTCATATGACCCCTTTAAGCAGCATAGATGTTTTCAACATTAACAATTTTTTTTTGCAGCAAATCAGTGTATCAGAATTATTTCTGAAGGATCGTGTACACTGAACACTGGAGTAATGATGCTGAAAATTCAGGTTTGCATCACAGGAAAAAAAAAACATTTTAAAATGTATTAAAAAAGAGAACAGTTATTTTAAAGTGTAATAATATTTCACAATATTACTATGTTTACTGTGTTTTTGATCGAATAAATGCATTAGAGACCAAACTGGCCAAACTTTTGAACTGTAGTATTTAGTATTTAACTAATAAATAATGTAATATTACATTAGAAGAATAATTTACTTCAATATAGTTATGAAAATTAAACACAGTAGCTAATAGATATGATCTTACCATCGGTCTTTACTCTATGAGGTCCTAATGTTGCCATGGCCTACAAGATATTAACAAAACACAATTTACTTTACAATAATAATCATTTCATAAAAAAAGGGGTTCTGTTTTTGACAGTCTAACCTTTCTAATAGCAGTCCAGTCTTCCAGTATATCCAGGTCTTGCAGCATGTAAACTATATATGGTCACAAATGACAGACTTTTCAAGCAAATTCTGGATAGACTGATGATTATAGGTATGAACAACAGGTTGAAGTAAAGGATATCGGACACAACGACAGGCTTTTTCTTTTTGTCTGGACTGAAGGGATCTTTCTTCTTATTTTTTCTTGATTGTAACTCATCGGTCCAGAGCTCTGTAGGGGAAATATGACAAAGATTGTATAAACACAAAAAACTAAATTATTTGTGACAGTATTCACAATCTCAATACCTGAAGTAATATCTATACTGTGACGGTCTTCCTCCAAACGTCTGATCTTCTCCTCTAGTTCACTTTGCACCGTATCAAATAATAACAGTTTTTCACTCTAGAAGAGATCAAATGAAACAAATTAGAATTGTATTTAGTTTTGAAAGTTTGTTTAAAGGTCCCATATTGTCAAAACTGAAATTTCCCGGCTTTTTTCATGATAACTGAGGTCTAGGTGCGATGTAACTACCATATAAGTTTCAAAACAGTCAGTCCACAGTAAAATGCACACAGCCTGCATAAAGTAGCTGTGATTTTTCACGAACCGCTGTGACTTCCGTAAAAAGTTGACGTCAGAACTACACAGTCACCGCCTTCAGTCACCACCCCGAGCACCACCCACCGTCCCACTCTCCTTTTGTGACGATCGTTTCTGTCTAGTCTGCTCGTTTTATCGCATTTAACCACAACCGTCGTCTGTTTTTTGTCTGGCAGTGGCAGCAGATATGCGATCAAGTGTCTAATTTGAGGCTGTATTACGTCGAATCTGGCACCCAACATCACAACAAGATGATATTTTAAGCTCCTTATGTAGCCGAATCTGCGCTGGTTTGAATGGGCCGCCTCTACTTTCCCCTTTGTTTTGCTGCCTCCAGCTAGCGCTGTGACGTCGCTGACCCTATTTACCTGTGGTTGTCCTGACCGTGGGTCACTCAGAAAACAACAGGCCAATCAGAAGAGAGGCTCATGAATATCAATTAGACAGATCAAAATCGACCTGTTCTCGGCAGAGCTCCTGAGAAAGGAGCTGTAAAAATATATTGAGATGGTTTTTGGTACTTATACCGCAAATATATATTCTTAAGGACATCAAAACCTAAAATAAAACTCCAGAAAGGTGTAAAATATGGGACCTTTAAATAGATGCATGTTTGAATGTGGTTACTGGCAGGCTTTTAGTGCTGTTAAGAGTATAAAACAGCTTCGAGTAATATAAATACTCTTGTATGGCTCAGTTATGATGACTCAAGACATTTCAGACATGCACCGTTGTTTAGGTAATAGCAGATTACATCTGTAAAGCTCACCTCCCAGTGCTGGAACGCTGCTTGGGTTTCACAGTCGCATTTATTTTTCACTGATTCCAAGCACAACTCTCTGTAGATACCTATGCACGAATGTATTATTTCAACAATGAGACAATGCACTTTCTTACCTAAAAAAACAAAACTCATTTAAATGCACAATTTCAAAGAACAATAATCCCATGTTCAGTTTGGACATCAGACAGACCTGCAATTTTAGTTCTAATCTGCATGTTCTCCTGAAGATATGCAAGGGGTTCCAGGTACTCTGGTGCCTTTCCCGACATCACTTCCTGAAGTTTGGTATCCATTTGACTCAGTCTCTCTTTATATAACCTAAAGAAAAGTTTGCATGCACTTGTAAATAACATATTCATGCACAGATTAAATACAAACAAGAGGATGGTACATACTGGTCTTTGAGGTCAGTGAACTGTTTTTCTAGATTTGTCATTTCGTCAATGCATTCCACCCTTCTTCTTTCACAGTCCTCATCATCCATTTCTGTGAGTAAAAAATGTTTTATTTTTTTATTCATTTAAAGTAATAGTTTGCCCAAAAATGAAGATTTTATGAAAATTCGCTTACCATCAGGCCATTCAAGATGTAGATGAGTTTGTTTCTTCATCAAACCATATATGGAGAAATGTAGCATTACATCACTTGCTCACCAATGGATCCTCTGCAGTGAATGGGTGCCGTCAGAATGAGAGTGTAGTCACAATACATTCATTGATGGGCTTGGGTCACATGAAAGACTTGTGGAAGACGTATCAGCTGTTTGGACTCTCATTCTGACGGCACCCATTCACTGCAGAGGATTTACTGGTGAGCAAATTATGTAAGAAATGTTTGAAATTTCTCCAAATCTGCTCCTCTAAAGAAACAAACCCTTATTTGCATGGTTCTTGTATTGCAATTTGAATGCAATAACATGTTTCCATCTATTCCTGTATATCTTCCTAGAGAAAATCAAAAGTCTCATTCGCACCTGAACTTTCCCCATCTTCAGAGACAGAAGAGCTCTCTGTATCCTCATCTTCTGAGCTGCTCCCCTCTTGCTCTGCGAAATCCACCTCCATCTCTTCACGGTTGCTCTCCTTCTTTTCTCTCGAATGCACTGGCATCCCGTCTTTTTTTAAACTTAAGACTACCGGGAAATAAACTGAACTACTTTTCACCTTTAAATCAATCTTTTATGTGAGCAGATGTGTTTGTTAGCTTGATGTTATTGCTAAAAACAAAACAGACAATATACACATCTAGATGTATCATGCTAACAAACGTTCAAATCCTGCAAATTACCAGTAGTTGTCGATTAGTCTAGATACGATGAAAAGAAAACAGGCAGCTCTTGCTTATTAAATCGCTTGACCTATTTTAATAATTTGCAAACCACAAAAACCCCTCTGTTTTGCTGTTTTTTAAGCCATGCCACCCTCTGAAAAGCTGCGCGGAATGTGCGCTGTTGTAGCACTCTGGGGCTTGTAGTTTTTATGGTGACACCGATCCTTCCGGTACTATTGTTCTTAGTGGACTAAAGAACTACAGTTCCCCGTCGTCACTCGTCCTGTGGGAGAGCGTGTTTACGGCTGCAAATACAGGCTGTATAAATCAATGGACGACTGGATGAAATGATTGTGTTGTTTTAAATGCTGTATTAAGTAAACTTATAAAATCTCATTTATTATTAACCAGTTTTAACCAATTTCATTTTCAGACAATTTCACAATGCAACAATAATTCAGAATCTCCTAACCTGGTCTTAATCCTATTTCTTCAAGTTTTTTTTCTTTTTTATTAATTTATTCTCAAAGGAATATGTCACTCAAAATAAAAAAATTTATATATAAGAATACAAATACTTTTTTTTTTTTAACTATTTTGGAAAAACTAAACAATAAAGATAAAGTTTGAAGTTTTATTGTGTTTTCATTCATTCATTCATTTATTTTACTTGTTTGCTAGAATATACGAATACAGAACAGTATCAGGGCAGGGAAGCAGCTTACAACTTATATCACTATTATCTTATGATTATTAAAAATCTGGAACTTATAGGGGTGAAACCTGCAAACTTTAAAAAGAGGTTAAATTGATTATTTCATTAAATCATGTATTTCACTCTAAAGTATATGTTATATTTAAGTTATACATTTAAGTATATGTTTATATTTTTAAATATGTAATAAAACACCACAAAAAAGATGCTTATTTTGTACTTTATGCATTTTTTCAGTCAACCTCTGTCTATTTGCCAAGTTTTTATTCCTGCAGAGAAAGTCGTTTTTTTTCAGCCTTGAAGAAATGAGCACAATAAATTGATATAATACAGTTTTAACAAATAGATATTTACACATTATTGAGCCACAAAGGCAAAACATACAATGATAAACAGAAAATGGTATATTAATTAAAACAGCTTACATAAAACAAACAAAAAAACATGAATGCAAAAACATAACGGCTAATAAACATATCTCATTATAACAGTTTAGAAATCTCTTACGCTTCTTTTGTCAAATATGAAATCCAATCATCTATTGATACTTAAAAATGAATTAATAAATATTGTTTATGAATGTGTAATGTTTCTGCTGTCCTGTCGATTATTATTATGATTATTTTTTTATTGCAAACAACTCAGAGTTGACATTAATGAATAACAACTTAGCATACATTACACATAAAGTCTCAAAAATACATCCAATGTCATCTGAGCATATGGAAGAGAAGAGAAGAGAAAAAAAAGAAGTTGATAATGACTTTTTCACATTTAAACAGCTTTTTAATGAACATAAAGGCAGGAACAGAACAAATAAAGAAAAGAGGATTTAAAAAAAAAAACACCAAAACAGGTATTAATCACGGTACATGAAAGATCTCATCATATCTCTTCAAAAAAGAAATACATTTTTTGTTATTAATTACTCTTAGTGATTGAATTAAATGTTCTACTTCACATAAGAAATCTATAAAAGTAGGTATTTTCTTAAGAAACCTTTGTTTGTTCAAATAGAATTTTGCCAGAAGGATAAGAAAGTTAACAGCAGATTCTAAAGATTTGTTTTGGTTTTCAAAAAAGCAAACAACATCCTTAATGTGTACATTACAGTTCATATTAACTTTAGAAAAACAATAGGAACTCAGATCTTTCCAGAAAAGTGATGAAACATTACAAGAGAAAAATAAATGACAAATATCTTCACTTTCTTTTTTACAGAAGGTGCATATATCAGCTACATCACAAAATTTCGACACAAGGGTATATATTATTTACACAATTTTAAAATGCACTTCTTTCACTTTATTAGGTATACAGTATTTATATGGTAATAACCATGTTTTCCTCCATTGAATGTTATCTATTTTAGAACCCCCCCAAAAAATTCCCTTTCGGAGAAATTGAGTTTCGAGAGTTTTCGAAGAATTATTACATTCTTTACTTAAAAGCGAAACACCTCCCAAACATTTTTTTTTCCTTTTTTTATTATGCAATAAAAGAACAACGCATAAAATTACAAAGACAAGTATAAGAACAAAAGGCAATAAGGGTTACAAACAATACTCCAAAGCATACTATGTTAACTTATAAGATTTACACCATGAAAGAGTCTTACATGCAATAGAATTATTAGAGTTTCTTAAAGAGTTTACATATACATCAAAATCTTCCCTGAAAATAAAAAAGTAAGGAGTTTTCTTTGAAAATGTACACTTATGAATGTAAACTTTAGCAAGATATAGCAATAGATTAATATTACATTTACACTGAGAAAGATCTAAATTCAAGGAGTAACCAAAAAACACAATTTTGGGGGTTATACAAAAGTTTGAATATAAATATTTTTGAATAAAAATGGAAAAGTCAACCCAGGACACTTTAGAATAAGCACAGTCCCAAAATAAATGATTGATTGTTTCTTCAGACTGAAGGCAAAAGGAGCAATTGGGGGAAATACTATTGTTAAATTTAGCAAGTTTGTAATTTACCGGATAACAATTATGGATCATTTTGATAGAGACTTCAACAAGTTTATTAGATAAGAAGAATTTTTGTCGAAGAAGCCAAAACTCTTCCCATTCTATATCTCACCTCCCAAACATAACTGTGAAAGTTGTTTTGAGCGTGACTCATGGGTGAGGGAAGCTTTCATCAGACTGTCCTGTCGATTCTGGTGAGTGATAGTGCTTCAGATGACTGCTGAGCGTTGAATGACTCTGGCTTCGATTAAGGTGTTTTTCATATCGCGTCCTCCGCCATGTTTTCAGTTCTTCAGAGAGGTGTGTGTGTGTAGTTCACAAGACACACACACACACACAGAGGAGGGCTGGCTGCTCTTTTCTTTTGTCTGACCTCCTCTGCTGAAAAAAATGCACGCCTCACCTCTATTTCCTCAAGTTTCCTTACAACCCATAACACCTTTCGAGCCGCGAATCTGACAAGCCCTTCCATGTTTGAGGGAATTAACGGAAGATTATCATTAGCTCTTCAAAACATCTCGGAATGTTCTCTAAAAAAACTCATGGAGATGTCAGGAAATCGACACAGAAAGTGCTGGACCCCAAGAAGGACGTGCTGACAAGATTGAAACATCTGAGAATCGTTATTGGTGAGAAATAACATTATTTGTACTCATTTTATGGTCCCAATGTTGCCTTGCAGGGAGCTAGCATGCTATATAGACAGGAGAATGAAGGCACCATCAGCAATGGGGTGTTTACTAGTATTTTTTTTTGTTTGAAGTCATTTGACAATTATTGACAGGTTTGCATTTAGAAGCGTGGCCAGATTTGCAGTGGTTTTATAGTGTTTTGTGTCGTTCTTTTGTATGGTTGAGTGTTTTTATGTCTGCAGTGGGTGTTGTTTTGATATGGACACATGCATTGGTTTCACTGAAACCTCTTTAGATGTCAGTGAATCTGTTGAGCAGATGTTCTGCATGCACATTTCGACTTATTTTTTTAATTAAGTTTAATGGTTATTCAAATAAATAATTGACATTCCCTTGTTAGGTTTATTAACCTGTGTATTCATGTATTATACATTTATTTATATATATATATATATATATATATATATATATATATATATATATATATATAATTTGTATCAGACATTTTTGAT